TTGGCAAATAGGATTTTCATTACAGGGGAAGCTATTTTTCCCAAACCAGGTCAATTCCAACTGTTAGTGCTAATAAGAGGCATCTTCACTTGAGAGTTGGTGCTCAAAACAATGCTTCATTATTGGACAACAGTACTGTACAGGCAACATCCAGTGCCCAAGAAAACTAATTCTCTCCTCCCCAAGAACACCTCTCTTTATGGTACAGCTGCACTCCTGAAAATTTCAAGGCACTTTAAAAATCAGCACATACTCTGAAAGCATAAAGAGTACAGACACCAGAAGATGCTCAGTTTCAAACCCGTTAAACAGCCACATATTGACTTCTGTAACTTAAAGTTTTCTACTTGGAAATTATATATCCTTATACTCACATTCTACTGATTTCTACAAATAGTAACCCTGCACACTGCATCAGAAAGGACAAGAAGTACTGAATATGCCTTTTTTCCTTAAAAGGAATGGCTGTTGTTTGGCAAAGGATGAATAAACCCTTCCCTCTAGAGGCCTGAATTAAGTTCACATTCAATTGCTTTGATTAGATATTAAACCTAGCAAATTAAGTTCCCCATTCCAGGTGACCCCCGGAAGCATCATTAGGAAAAAGAGTGGGAGAGGAAAAAGAATGACACTTAAATTCAGTTAATTATTAGGATTTGATTCAATAATTAGTCGCATTCAATTGCAATAATATAAAGTTTTAAATTAGCCAAGAGTACAAGAGTGTGAAAAGAGCCTTTGAATATTAGAAAGACATTTTTCTATTCAAACGAACAGATTAGAAGATGTCGACAGCTTGCCTACTTTACCCAAAAGAATGCTTGTGATAAGCGTATGTTGATTAAAAAAATAATAAAAATGATGGTGATAACAATGAGAGGAAGAAATCACAGGGAGAAAATTTCTGAGAAGTTGGGGAAGTCAATTCTTCCTCCCTGTCTTTTTATAGATTAATATCCTTGCTCCCTGGGGCAAGTCAGCATAGCCCAATTTTACCATTGCAAAATATGCAATAAAAATATGGAGTCAGGGCTGGGTGTGGTGGCTCATGCCTGTAATCCCAGCACTTGAGGAGTTTGAGACCAGCCTGGCCAACATGGTGAAACCCCGTTTCTAGTAAAAATAAAAAATTAGCTGGGCGTGGTGGCACGCACCAGTAGTCCCAGCTACTTGGGAGGCTGAGGCAGAAGAATTGCTTGGACCCGGGAGGCGGAGGCTGCAGTGAGCCGAGATTGCACCACTGCACTCCAGCCTGGGTGACAGAGTGAGACTCTGTCTCAAAAAATATATATATATATATATTTTTTTTTCAGATATATATTCGTATATATATTCAAATATATATTCAGATATATATATATAAATATATATATAGTCAGATACTAGAGGAAAACAGGAAATACAAAATGACATTATTAATATGCAACACAAACTGTCCAAAGGATGAAATCTTGAAAGCAGAGCAAGATTTGCTTTGATGAAGCCATCCTCCCTTGTCATGAGATTATTACCTTTAGCTTTTGCATCTGACAGCAGGACTCCATCTCAGGTACAAACAGTTAAACTGCTGCACCTTTATATGCTGGAAATGGATTATGGGCTTCCAAGAAGTGAATATTTAAAAAGAATCTTATCTCCGCTTCTCTGAGATGTCATACAGTTTGTTAAGACAGGAGAAGCTGAAGATAACAGGGTGATGCGTGCCTCTCTTGCTGTGCCAAATGGGGATAATTAGGTCTCCCAGCTGCAGGCTTGCTCTGGAATGGAGAACACTGCTTATATATAGCTTAGTACTGATGGCTTGGTGGGTGTCTTATTGTCCATAATTATCTTTAAAGTTAGACGTTGGCAAAGAAGTGATTTTGCTATTAATGTATTTTTATATACCAAAGACTCTGATAGACGATAATTCATTATACCATGTATACCTCTCTCTCTCTCACACACACACACACACTCACATACACACACTCACACAAACTCACATGCACACATATATTAATTGACAGAGCAATGTACTGGGAAAATAAATACAACCCCTTAAGATGAGAAAATACTGTATTTCCTCTTCTGGAAATGTTAATGTTTCATGACAAAGTAATTCAGTTATTCGTCAAAATGTCTATGGTGACAGAGTGGGGGAAAAAAAGACCTTAATTTGGGCATCTTCAACCAAGGGCATTGAAGTGAACCTTGACTTCTAAGAAATTGATATCTCCCATAAACCACATCAAAAATGACTGTTGCTATTTGCAAAGACAGAAAGGAGATGAGAGGCTACCAGGGACTGGGGCAAGTGGGGGATGGGAGTTACTGCTTAATGGGTACAGAGTTTTCTGTTTGGGATGATGAAAGAGCTTTAGAAACAGTGGTGATGCTTGCACAACAGTGTGAATGTCATTAATGTCACTGAATTGTACACTTAAAAGGTTAAATAAATGACATGTTTTCTGTTATAATGATTTTATGATAATATTTTTTTAAATGTTGCTACAACCAGTCATAATGGAAATAGACTCCTATCCACATGAGAATAAAGATGGTTAAGCTGTGGATGCATCCATTATTAGATGTTTATTTTCATTGGACCCATTTGGATGTAAATATTTTACTACCAAAATGGAACAAAGAAAACCTCACAGAAATAGCTTTCTGACCATGTGTGCCCTAGACCATAGGGTAAAGTAACTCACCTTTATCACAGGCACTCCACTCTCAGGCTGCATCGTCAGGGCAGCGTCTTTCCTGCAAACTGTTGCATGGCACAGTTAGTCCTTATTGGTGAACTCTGACTTTATCTGGTATAGGTATTCTTTTCCTTCCGCTAGGTGATCCAGGACAACTGTTTGCTTGGGATGTGACCATTGAGAAAATAGAGCTGATCACACATGTTCAGGGATGTTCTGAGCACCAGAGTTTCTGTATTTAAATCGCTTGGCATATGACATCAAAATATGTTCTACTTTCCAGATGACATTCTGAGGCTTCAGAAGGCATAATGGCTCCGCTGGACTAGGAAGACCCCGAAGAAATAATTCTAACATCACTACCCTGAGTTTTGCCTGTGAGGGAGGCTTCAGAAAGAAGCATCCATGGCTGGGATTTCTCTCTGATGAGCTCAGCTGGCAAAAGAATCTGGTCTAAGCTGATTTTTGCATATGGGGAGATGGAACCTATGTGCCAACCCTTCCATTTTTTTCCCCCATCTTGTTTTATATTATAAAAAGAAGAATTTACAAGCTCTCAAGTGCAACCTTCACTGTTTAGTGCATCATGTCTTTTTACATTTGTAAATAGCCACGTAACACCATCAAGATCCACAAATTGAACACTTTGCTGCCCCAGTTCCTACTCCTCTCCCCTTCCCTGATCTGACCTCTACTGTGACATCCCTCACCATGGCTGCGTTTGGCTATTCTTGAATTCTGCATCAATGGAATCATGCAGTACATAACTCCTGCGTCCATCTTCTTGTCCTCCATATAATGATTTTGAGATTCAGGCATGTTGAATCTCTCTGCAGTTTGTTTTACATATGACTGACTGGTATTTCATTGCATGAAGAGAACAAAATGTGTTTATAAATTATCTTATTAATGAACATTTGGGTCTTTTCCAGTTTCAGGTTATTATAAATAAAGTGATCATGAACTTTTTGCATAAGTTTCTTTGTAGATGTGAACATTCTTTTCTTTTGAATGTGTACCTACAAGTAGGATTTCTGGATCACATGGAAATTTTGTTAGAAACTAACACTTTTCCAAAGTGATTGTACCACTGCACATTCCAAGCAGCAATTAATGAGGGTAGACTTAATTTATATTACCTGTTACCTATCATACCATATCTTAAAGTAATTTTACTTTTAATATTATAATAATGAAGTATGGAAAATAAAACATCACAGAATTGTTTCAGGAATTCCTTCTTTCCTTAAAAAATATCTCAAGTTGTTAGGAACCACACACAGTTTTAGTTGCCAAGGTTAAGTGAAGAAAGAAAGAAAACAGAACAAGTTTCCAGATATCACAAGGGTCACATTGCAGAGGGAGAATCAAGTCAATAAAGAAGAAAATTAATAACAGTATAATTTCTACTAAGTGTTATAAAAATAAAGCACATTACAAGGACAAAAATAATTGCTGAGATTGCAGAATAAAGGCTACTTAGTGTGTGTGATGAATGCTCTTGTAGGAGGTAATATTGAAGCTGCCCTACTGGCTGGGAGAAATAGTATCAAATACTTCCAACCCCGTGAACCTGAAGATGCAGGCATTTTTCTCATTCTCTTGAATGGGAGGCAGAGATTTGTGAAGGACTTGGTTGGATTTATACACCATTCCTGAACTACTGGCTGCGGCCGGTGTGATGGGCTCCAGGAATTGCTAGCTTGTGCAGTGAAATGGGACTTTAGGACATTTCAGCCTGTGAAGGACATAAACTTCACCTGTTGTATATGAATATTTGAATAATTGCTTAGGACAGAGTTTGGAACAACTAGCCAAGTGGATAGTTCTGATTCCCTATGCATTTACTGATTATCTCAAAAATTAATGTTGTGTAGCTTTCTTTCAAAAATGAACATAGAATCAATGCAATTAATCCCACTGACAATGATTATAGCTCACTCTGTGCAAACCATTTCTGGTAATGTTACAGGTAATAATTCAATTAATTTGATCCATTATGTATAATGGTTTTACCTTGTGAGTCTGGGGAACAGAAAACGATCTTTTGATTTAAGATACATCTCTATTATTCATGAAACTTATGGTCCTGGAAAGGGACTATCAATTCATGTAATTGATTTGATATCCTTGTTGTGAGTAGAAGTGTTGAACGTTATTTGACAGGAGGATATGAGAATTAAGTGATTCTATGCAGGATAGATTTAGCTTCTAGTTTCTCTGTTGCTTGTTCCTGTTTTTGTCATCATAATGGACTCAGGATCATTCATTTCCAATAAGAAAATGTCATGCAGCAATAAGGACTTATAGCAGTTTTCTTAGATGATTTTCTTTATTGGTTTTTGTTTTCCTTGGAATCAGCATCCTTTTGCCACCTCTAATCTCATTTGCCCCATGATAAAAGGCTGGACTGGGAAGTACAGAGGATGCTTTATTGGGATTCAACACACCAGGTGCTTCACAGGAGAAGAAAGACACATAAAGGTTTGGGTTAGGCTTCTTGAGATGGATACAACTTTTAACTCATCGAGGGGCGTGAGGAGCAGGGTATATCTGGGAATGTCTGCCCACTTCTGGCCGGGTGTGCAGGGTGTGCGTGCAAAGGGTCAAAGACTTCCATCCTCCCTCCCCCATGTTCGCCTGCCTCTCTGGGCAAAGCTCTGGCTTATCTTTTACTACAGGTGTGACAACACTCTTCTTTCATGACACATCTCCCTGAGAGCAACGGTGGCGTTCAGTTGGTCTTTGCATCCTCAGCTTGTGGTAGCCAGGCACACAATGAGCACGCCATGCATATTTTTATACTGAATGAATGAAAGCGAAAACAACTCAGGAGAGGTTAATAAAAGGCTTATCCCTGCCCGCAAACCCTCCTCTTTCCATCCTGCTTTATTCTCCCACTGTCTACAGCAGAACCTCCTCATTCTCTTTGGGGCCACCAGTCCAGGACCCACCCCACTTACCCTCAGCAGACGAAAAGAAGCCCTGCTTATGGGAACAATAGAAGTCATCAATTGGAATGACTTTATCTTCTTACCTCTAACTTTACCAGCATCTGCACAATTTACTTTTATTCTCTTTTTATAAGTATGCTTTTTCCCATAAAAGCCAAACTGTGACCTTGTCAGCATCCCTTCTGTCTCTCCTGCATTGCTCAAGTCTCCTCTCTACTGACTTTAAAAAAAAAAATTTTGAGACAGTCTCACTCTGTCACCCAGACTGCAGGGCAGTGGAGCAATCATGACTCACCACAGCCTAAAACTACTGGGCTCAAGAAATCCTCCCACTTCAACCTCTTCTGTACCTGGGAGTGTAGGAGTGAGCCATGAGACCTGGCTAATTAAAAAAAAAAAAATTGCAGAGGCAGGGTCTTGGTATGTTTCCCAGGCTGGTCTCGAATTTCTGGCCTCATGCCATCCTCCTGCCTCAGCTTCCCAAAACACTGGGATTACAGGCGTGCACCACCACACCCAGCCTCTACTCGCTTCTGGTTATGAGCACTTAAATATGGCAGTGTCTCATCTATGTTAAACAAAAATTCCTGGCTCTCCTACTCCAATTAAAAACCATGTTTCCTCTCCCCTTATTTAAAAGCTGTTTATAGTCACTGTTTTCCATCTTCATTTCCTCTGTGCTTCATAACCCACCGTAGGCCTATTTCTTCACCCACCACTTAATCAAAGCTTTCTTCTTGCTATAGCCAGTGGGCATGGTGTCATCCATATCGTACTTGGCAGCTTAAGGGTGCTGGATACAGCTGAACCCCTTCAACCTGGTTTCCGGGAAGGCCCCTCTCCAATTTTCCTTTCTGCTCATGTTCTCTGTCCATCCCCTAAATTCAGACTGGTCTGTGTGTTCTCCTGCACTGTAGAAGATGTAGGGGTTGGAAATCTCTGCATATGAAACAAGGTGCCAGGAGATTCTTATACTCTGACCTCTCAGAAGCATGTTTGCAAGTACTCATATTCCTCACAGATCTGCCCATGTCTTCAATGTATGGTTTATGAAAGACATTGGCAATCCACAACCCACTGGCCAGATCTGGACCACCGCCTGTTTCTGTAAGTCAACTTGTATTGGCACACCACCACCCTCCGCCCACACGCTGAAGTATTTCTGTGGCTGCTTTCAGGCCACCACAGCAGAGCTGAGTAGTAGCTGCAACAGAGACCATACAGCCCACAAACCCTAAAAGATTTTCTTTCAGACCTTTTGGAGGAAAAGTTCCTGGCCCCTGGTTTAGAATCTCCCAGCTGCTTCTGGACATCAATAGCCTTCTTCATGTGTGTCTCTTATGCTTCAGACCTGGAGAACCAACAGCTCATTGGAACCTCATGTGAACATGACACAGACCCTTCAAACCCAACATGCTCAGTTGAATTTACCATCTTCTTCCCAACTTGCCCCTCCTCTGGGTGTTATAACCCAGGAGAAACTATCCCCACCCACTACAGGGTCGATTCCTAAACACCCTTTCTCCCAGTGCCCCGTCCTAAAAGCACAGAAGTCCCGATCATGCTGAGCCACCTGCTCTGCAGAGCTCTGATCCAGGCCATTCCTCTGGCATTCCTGGAAATGCTCCTCACTTGTCGCCCCCATTTTTAACCACTCTCCTCAGAGCAGCACGAGCCTTCTCTTTAAATGGTGATCTTAACCATGTTTTCTCTTCTGCCTGAAACAGAAACCTTTCGGTGGCTTCCCTTTGCTTTAAGGATAAAGCCCTAGTTCTTAGATGTGACCTACAATGTCCTTCAGGGTCCACCCTCCAGCTTTCTCCTTGTGACGTTCTGCTCCACATCCACTTCACAATCTTTAAGCCCCAGAATTAAAAGTGTGGCTGCCATTCACTAAAACCGCTGTGTGCATGCTTGCCTCTGGGTTTTTGCAGGTGCTGTTCCTTCTGCCTGGAGCACCTTTGCAGCTTGCCCCCTTCCACAATGTAACTCTCCTTGTTTCTCACCCTCAGGCCAGATGTCACAGCTAGATGGGGTTCCATGCCATCATGGGGGTCTCTTAACATCATGCATGCTCCAAGGCATGCATCATGCGTTGTTGGGTGTTGTCTATGTCTATTATTAAAAGGAAAGTTCCTTAAAAATCTGAATTCAAGGTTCTTTGCTGATCATAGAACCAGCTGGACATATGGAAATGATATGATAAATATGCCTTAAAAATACAGATTATTTCATGAATAAGTAATGCAGACCTTTGGCTACTTTAAAATTTACTTTCCTTAGAAAGAGAGCTTGGAGGAAAGATGAAATCAATTAGGCAGCTGTGACAGTAGCCCAGAGCAGAGCTCAAAGCCTGGTTTTATGGAAAATAGAACGGAGGGGTGAATCAGTATAAAGGCTATATCAGCCTACTCAATGGAAAATTATTTTAAGATATATTTAAGACAACATATGGTATTAAACGGTTATACTTTACTTAAATAATTGCTTACATATGCTTCAAAAAACCAAGTGATTGTAGACCAAATTGTAGAAGGAAATTTTAAAAACACACTAATTTTCTACTTTAAAAAATTTATTAAAAAATTGCAAAATGCAGAAATTTGACTTCAGTTTTTATGATAATGTGAAATTGAAATCATAGAAGAATATGTATAACTAGTAACTAAACTATGTAATCTTTTATGTTACATATAATACTGAGTATACCATGTAAAAACAAAAAATATATATATATAGTAATAAAAGCATTATTTAAATTCTAAATGTTTGTTCAGTGCCATAGAATAATAATATAGTTCTTCAGTTGTCTTGCACTGTAGTGTAAAAGAACAGAGGCCAATTTAATACATAAGTAATGGCTATGAACCAACAGAAGGCTAATGATGTCATTATGTAATGTGCAAATGAAGACTTTGCAGCAATTTTAATAGGACAAGCCAGACTAGGCTTCAGTCATCTCAGCAGATGGAGTGATATGGGCATGCCGACCTGGCAGCACCCTGCACCTGTCTCCCTCCAGTCAGCAGAAGTCCTGCCGGATCTGATCCTTATTCACGCAAGCCTTCATTGGCAGAAAGTGTAGTCATTTCAAAAGCACATGGAAAAATACTTCCTTAAATTAAGATTTTTAATTTGTTAATTTATCTCATGGTGACCTCTTACATTGATTATGCCTTCAAATACTACATTGATGGTTGAGTGCATTCACCATTCAGAAAGGAAATGTAATCATGGCAGAGACCACAGTTCAAATGATGGTTCATGATGCTCAAAGTCAAAGCCAAGTCAATGGCAGTAAAACTTTAATCACGAAAATCATCTTCTTACTCCCCAACCCAATCGTGGCAACTTCATCACTTGAAATTAATGTTATCAACTTTATTTAATTTTATGGGTTATGCACCCTCTAAATACACAAAGTTGTTTTAAATTTAAGCCTAACACACTATTATAAACTCATTAATAAAAATTTAAAAAATTTATGCACTTTAGAATTTGGTCTATGCTTAATTTGGATGTTTACTTTTATGGCTTATATAGGTTAGAAACATATGGCACACACAAAAAATATACCTACCTACTTACATATTTATACACATTTAAATATAGTGCTGTTAAAAGATAATTTTCAGAAAGGGTAAAATCATGACTCCATGCATATATAAAAGTTAACATGTGTTCATGACTTTATTTGAGTCATTAATCAATGAAAGAACCAGACAGATGTTAGAACCCATTCACCGGAAAAGTCAAAACAGCACAAATGTACCTGGAACAAAAGAATTGAATCACAAAATGGCAGCAAAGCTGGCTTTTCCAAAGGTGGAGAGGGAAGTCAATGGAACCTGTCTGGCCAAGGCACAGTTTGCACACCTAAGTTGTACTTGCAATTTACAAAGAGATGCAAAGATTCGGAGCTGGATCCCACTGCTTGTGGCAATGCTACGGTGTTCACCTAAACAAAATTTTCTCTACAATAAAAATAATTGAATGCTGGACTGAAGTTAATGAGGAAATTCTTTTTTAAACTTCAAATGAGATCCATACATTACTCAAGTATGAATAATTTAATCCCAAGCACCTTATATATATATATATATATATAAAATATATATACATTATATATATATTTGTTGTCATTACTTTTTTTCTGAGACGGGAGTCTGGCTCTGTCACCCAGGCTGTAGTTCAGTGACATGATCATAGCTCACTGCAGCCTCCAACTCCTGGGCTCAAGTGATTCTCCCACTGTAGCCTCCCAAGTAGCTGAGACGAGGCATGCGCCACCATGCCCAGCTATTTTAAAAATATATATTGAAGTTATACATTCATATATGTAGATATGTATACATATGCACATGTACACGATTGTAAGGGGCAGTCCTGCCTATAGGGAAAATGAGAGAAAAAAATCAGCCTGAGAAGTCAGGGGTTGAAAGGAAAATGCATTTCTAACCATAAGCAGAGAGGAAACCTACACAGAACTGAGAGGTTTAAATTTCATGGCAGCCTGGCCAGCATGTGATCAGAGAGATCTGCATGTCATATTCAAATGCAGTAAAAATAGGGGTCAGTATTGATTACTTTTCATCGGAAGAATTCAGGAGTCATATTTCCCAATAGCAGGTGCTGAGAACTTTTATCCCTGCACTCTGTTAGGTGAACAATTTAGCCACTGGACCAAGTCATGGTACCTATAGGAATGCAATAATCTCTGCTTAAATTTTCTTGTAATGAGGAGGGATAGAGAGTCTATTGTTACACTTTTTAAGCTGCATAATGTAAATAATATTATTTTTGGTCCTGTAAAATTTTGTGAAGGATTTTCAATGAAAATGAAAATGACTCTCTGAAGACTGGGGAAATTGTTGAAAGGCAGGATTTTCTTACTTTTGGCCTCTTGCTCAATTCAGCTGAAAATCACAGCTTGTCTTCTGAAATAGCCAGTGCCATTTGAAATACTCAGTTGAAATGGTGTTCGATTGTAATGAGCTTAAATGATTGAAAAAGTGAATTTAAGCAGGTTTAAGTAGATGGAGCCTTTCAATAAGTGTTGTAGTCATTTATTCAAAGTCTTTCACTTAAGGAGGTAATAGCTGACTCATTCATATAACTAATATGCCTCATGTAAAATAATGTATGCTATTTGTGAATTTGAGTTATAAAAAATTCTTTCGTGTTTCTAGTGCATAGCCCATAAAACCAGGTATGTGGAAATTTACGATCCAGTTTTCCTCATAGGAATCAGCTCCTGCCGCTGTCAAACAGATATTTCTTCTTCCATTTTCTTTGGTTCTTATGGAGTCATAGAATGGCCTTTAAACTAAGTATGCTGCCCCATGGAGCCCCATCCACCACACCAATATTGAAGAAAAAATGATATAGCTCATTAAAACAGTGGTATTTTCTGTAAAATGGAAATAACGGTAGTATTTCCAAAAGATTATTAGATTTTAGAACTTTATTACACTTCACTGACCCAACAAGGAGCTACATTTTTATGCCAATTATTTAATGAAAGGGTCATAAAAGAATGTTCAATTGTCTGGAAATATGTGGCAATCTCCCTCCGGAAAATTAGTACTTTGTTGTTGTTAAATGAAGTGAAAGTTAGGGAATAACTTGCTGAGGGGCTTCACTAGAAAGCCAGTAAGGCATTTTCTCTACATACTAGAGCCAATTCCATCAACTGCTAACAGGCGCCCATAAAATGCCAGATGTAGAGCAGTCCGAATTTGTTTATTTGTAACATTAGCATGCATTCTTTCAATATGCAGAAATCCTCTTTATGGCCATACACACAGGTGTGCCTACCGTGTGTTTAAAAGAGTGACAGTATTTCTCCCTATCACAAGGTCAAAAACCTCTTTCCAAAGCCAACCTGCACAAACACTGGCTGTTTCACTGTTGTGTATAGTGGCTTTCACCGCCTGCTATTCTGGCTCCACACTGCGGCTTTGGAGGCCTTTAGTTCATACAAGACGCGTTGTGGTTTGTGGTCAGCGGAATAATAGCTCCAAATATGTCCGGGTCCTAATTCCTGGAACCTAGGAATACACTAGGTTACATGACCAAAGGGACTTTGCAGATGTGATTAAATTAAGGATCTTGAGATGGGGGGATTATCCTAGATTATTGGATGGGCCCAAATTGATCACATGAGCCCTTAAAAAGCAGAGAACCTTGCCTAGCTGGGGTCACAAAGATGCAGCAGAAGAGAGTCAGAGAGATGAAAGATGAAAAGGACACACCTTACCTTTGCTGGCTTTGAAGATGGAAGGCACCATGGGCCAGGGAAAGAGGGTGGCCTCTAGAAGCTGAGAATGACCGGGTCTGATAGTCAATAAG